GGGGGGGGGGGCCGTATTTTATAGGGCTGAAACCCCCCTGCCCTCCCCCCTCGCCCCCAGACATGCCCTCCAGCCAACCCATCGACATCCCCGACGCCAAGAAGCGCCCCAAGAAGAAGAAGCGCTGCAGAGCCACCGACAGCTTCTCGGGGCGCTTTGAAGGTGAGGGGGGTTGGGTTGGGGTCGGGGTGTATGGGGAGGTCCCTACGGTGACCCCATTGTCACGGGGACCCCCCTGCCCTCCCCCCAGATGTGTACCAGCTGCAGGAGGAGGTGCTGGGGGAAGGGGCCCACGCCCGAGTGCAGTCCTGTGTCAACCTCATCACCAACAAGGAGTACGCCGTCAAGGTGCGTTGCCTCGACCCCATTCCTGCCCCATAACCCCGCAGCCACCCCACGGCCACGCTGGGAAATGAGGGCGAAGGGGGTGAGTGAGTGCTTGGGACGCGTAGGGCGTGGGGCTGCCTGCGTATCCACCCCATAGGGCAGGGCTTGGGCCGTGCGCACCCTGTGGGGCAGGGATATGGGGTTTGGGGGGGGGGGGGGGGGTGGGCCCCCATGTAGGGCAGGGCTGTGGGGGTTTGGGGTCTGTGTGCCCCCTACAGGGCGCTGTGTTCGGGGAGGTGGGGGCTGGAGAGGTTGCCCCAAATCCCCCGCTGACTTTTGGGGTGGGAACGGAACGCAGTAGGGAACGGCAGCCCCTCCCCCCTCCCACACACAGCCTTTAGGACGCCCCTATTGATTCAAGTAGGGGGAGGATGTGGGGCAGTGGGTGCAGCCCCACGGGTTGGAGGGGCACCGTGTCCCATTGCCCCCCTTCCTTAACCCCACTGACCCCCCCGTGCCGCAGATCATCGAGAAGCGCCGTGGGCACATCCGCAGCCGCGTGTTCCGGGAGGTGGAGATGCTCTACCAGTGCCAGGGCCATAGGTACGGGGGGGCACCCCGTGGACCCCCCCCCCACCCCAGGAACATCCCACATGGCCCCACGTCCCCCGATAGGTTTGGGGTGTGGGGTCTTTGGTTGTTTGGGTTTGATCTGTCCTGTGGGCCTGTCTCATTTGGGGGTCAGTGCTGCTGCTGGGGGGTGGAGGGGGGG